GAGTGAAGAAATGAACAAAATAAACAATTTAAACTTATACACTTAATTAATCATAAACTATTTTATGATTAACTTGTATTCTTATCCAAACATAATTAATCATCAAAAATGGCCTCTATTCATAGCCATGAATGAGCTTTTTGGTAGATAAAACTTATTCCACCAAGTTTAATAAAATTCTCACCAATTATTGAAAAAAAAAATGCTAACTTAAAGACTTAGCAAAACTTTGTTGTGATTTTCTCATCTCATTCTCACCAATTGATGACCAAAATTTCGTGCTTAATGTGATGTAATTTATTCCATATATTATTGAAAGAATGTCACCATTCATCATATAAAAATCTTTGGAACAAAATAATAAAAATAATAAAAATCATCCTTTTTTATTACTTATGTATTTTCTTTCAAAATGGCTGATTTTTAAAACTCTTTTACTGAAAAGTAATGCTCATATATGGTCTTGGATCATGCTAATAAACCGAGAATAATACAATTTACGAAACTCAATTCGGACTTAAAACGAACATTTACCGTAAAACTGAAAATTCTAAAATTTAAATTCTTTACTCACAGTTTTTCTTCAATTTAATGAACATATTGCTTCTTAGGATCTAATATAATTATCTTGAAATATTCTACATTTACGGAACCAAATTCGGACTTAAACCGAACGATTACCTTAAAACCGAAAATTCTAAAAATTTCGGTTTCTCTTAAAATAATTTAAATAGACTATAATGTCTAAATAAATTTTCTCACTTCTTTGAACATTTATCACTTAAATGTTCATGGATACTTAACCGCACTTCGAGACTTAACTTGTATCAACTTATGCTAAGGCTCAATATTATGATCTTATCTTGATGACTTAAACACTTAGAAAAATTCTAAGTATTTAGTACTAAGGCTCGGCTATTTCTTAATTAAGTTCAACTCATGACCGAACATACTTGGGTTCAGTTCACTACTTATCTTAAACGATTAATCAAAATACACTCAATTTCGATTATTCGTCATCTTATATTAATTAATCTCATCTTATAAATCCATTTATAAAAATAAACAGACCAGAATTAATTAATTACTGAATTGACTCGATTACTGAATAATATTGAACCGAGAATACTTTCGACTTAAAGTCGAATTTTTAACTAAATAACTTAATAACTGGCTCGAAACTAGGAACGAGCATTAATAAAAGTAATTAGTTCATACTTAGAATAATTACTTTTATTAATTACTGAATGGGATATTACACAAGTGACATCGACATTAAGGTACAATGCATACAGATGTTCTGCACCCGAAGGGCTCCGGGTAGTGGGTAAATCGTATGCAATGTATTGCATAGTCAGTCAGATAAGTATTTTATAGATCAATTCTTCTCTAAAGTTATCCAGTGTGCATAAAGTTTTCCGTAACCATGTTACGTGAGTATGTGTGCGATCCAGAGTGTGTGCTTTTGCATAATGAGTTTCAGTTTCATTAACGAGGAGCAGCCGATAGAAGTTTTGAACCAAAAGGTTCATGGGCTGAGGAATCGAGATATTTCCCTCCTAAGTATAAAATGGAATTGCCACATAGAGTTAGATGCCACTAAGGAGTGAGAAGTTGATATTGGTACTCGTTTTCCAGATTTCGAGTTCTGATATATATATATATATATATATATATATATATATATATATATATATATA